CTGCCTTGATCAAATCCGCCTTATTGACCCGATCAATCGGCCAAAAACGCGGAATGATGGAGAGATCTTCAACCTGCTGTCCCTTCGGAATGAAGTCCCGGACAATGAGATCACCATTGCCACTTGCAGCAAGGAGTGGAGTTCGATGCTTTTGCTGTACCTTGAGAAGGCATTGATGAACCATATCATGTTTCTCTTTGGAGTGCTCCTGAACGACTCTATATCCATAGATGGCAGCATGATTCCAAATTGGATCAGAACAAGCCTCTTTCAACATTGCCTTGAATTTGCTCAACGGGTTGTCATAGAAGGAATGAAAGATCTCTTTGGTTGTGAGCCTGGCATCACACTCGAGCACCATCTCACACACTGCGGCCAAGGTCATCGTAATAGAAGGCGTTGGCAGTGAAAAGTGCACTTCAGGCGTGATCACAACCAAATGGACTTGCCGCTTGTATTCCTGATTCAAAGCCGAGTCAAAGACAATGACTTCAAAAGGCCCTGTCAAATTTGGCATCTTGGCAAGGGGGTCAGTCGGATCAATGATAGGCAGCAAAAGAGCACACGGTTCCTTTGGTACAACTTCCTTTGCACGTTGCAGATTGCCTTTGGAGACGAAGGCAATGCCTCCCCGGTTCGTGGAGAGCTGCTGCTTTTGCGCGAATGGAATCGAAGACTTGTCCTTGCCGACAAAGGGATGATCCGACTGGAGTTGCAAATCCTCCCATTTGCTCTGCTTCATGACTTTTTTCTTACTGGCCCATGGATCGTCAAATTGCCAAGGGTCGACTGCTGGTGCAGTTGGATCAGGTTGAGGTTGCCCTTCCATACCACCAAGAGACACTGCTGAACAAGGTTGCAACACCTGGAGGCCACCAACCAGAAGGAAAGCTCTTCTGAGATTTGCAGCAAAAGCCCTGAGCATTGGGGAAGCCCCTGCAGTCTGCCATGCTCTGGTGGACTCCTCAAGGATAAGATCAAGAAACTGTCGCTTCTGGGCAGGAATATGAAAATCAGGTGGCGCAGCAAAATCTGCAACAATCCACCTGTGGAGCAGCTCCCATCCGCACATTCCTGGGCGGGTTCTGGTAGTGTCAACAATGATGATTGGCCTGAAGCCCAGCGGAACAACGAATTCTTCGGCAAAGGTTGTCCAGTATTGCTGAGCAGTTGCAGGTGCCTGAAGAATGACGACTCGGCAAGTATGTTCAACTGCATTGCAAATGACTTCAATGCCAACCCAGTGTCCTTCTCTCAGTGCAACAAAGCGCTGGACTTGATCAGACATTGGCTTGACTCCAGCAGCAATAATCGAAAGGTCATGATGCAAGACTGGTGGACAAAATGACTCTGGCAGGAAGTACGACATGAAGAATTCGATCTCATCACTGGTGGCCCATCCCGGATGTGTGCGATAGATGTTGGCCCTCATATCCAGCCAGTCATCAGCAACAAAGAAGATCTCGTTGATGTTGTACCCCTGAGGGGGTCTTCCAGTAGCACGAAGGGCAAGATCATTCGCTCTGCTGGGTGATTCCATGATTGCAACCAAGAAGGCATTTCGACTTGCTCTTGCAAACTGAAGCATGCGATCATCTGTCTGGGTATCTCGCCAAACAAAGTCCGCCTGGTCAATGATCTGCATAACATGCTCACTGTGTTGGGAGCGCTGCAGGCGTTGAGTTGTTCGATGAGTGGTAGGCAGAAGTGGCGCTCCAGCTCTAGCATAGAATGTCCTGAGGGTATGCCACGATGCCAGCTCCGAATCTTCTGTTGTTCGGATCCATCTGAAGGCATTCTGAAGGACTCGAATCCGCATGACATTAATGAGTTCCAGAACCGCTGTACGTTGTCTCACAGTGAGTTGCTCAGGTGAGTGATACAATACCCTCCATTGGCCTTCAAAGAAGCGAACCTCGACAAAGATCCAATCAAAAAGCACCAATATCGGAACCACGAAATGTTGGAAGCATCGTTGCAAATCCGCCGGTTCCACAGGAAAGCGGAATTGGGCTTCGTTGTTAACCCAGATGGCAGGTGGACACCAACAAATCGAGGGCATCAAAAGCTGCAAAACGTCACAATGGAAAACCATTTCATCAATTGCCAGAGCCCCGGGCTCAAGGTTGAACTGCAGAAGACGAGCCATGACATGGTCATCGTGTATGTTGCAGCCAGGATTCTCCGCAAGGTGGTCCATACCACCAAGAGACACTTGAGCCGCTCTTGCCGGACGAGCATCACACCAAAGGACATCCCCATTGATGAGCGTCAAGGGTTGATCAGCACGACATTCAATAGCATTCCGCATAGTAATAGCACATGCTTGTTCCAGCTGAGTCGAACATTGGATGGGTGTCAGGTTTCGAGGCATGCTGCAAATCTTCAACCATTTGAGATCAGTTCCACCGGCAAGGAGGATCCACTTTTGAGAACTAACTGGCTCATAGGGACCATGAATTGCCAGGATAACTTGAACACCTAACAGGGTTCTGCACGCCTCTTGATTGACCTTGACAAAATGCATGCACTGATCTCCACACTGAAAGGTCGGGATGGAGCCAAGACGATCAACATTGGCATGCTGGACCCAATTGTACGAACCATCTTGATGAAGCAGCAGCACTCTGGCAGTCAACCTTGGTTGCTGATCCTGGCATACATGTTCGATGACATGGAGGAAGCCATTGAAGTGCGCATCCAACAAGCAGTCAATCTCAACGTCTTCATCGTGTTCCCCCCACTGCTGAGTGGGAGAGACAATGGGATCCTCACTATTTCCAAGTCCTGCACGATGAACAACAAGATTCCCAAGGACAAAGGAGCCACACTTCAAGGTGACGTTGCCAACTGGCAGCTGGGCCCAGGTCAAATCATTCGGCAGTTCATGTCCATCACTATCAAGCACAAGGAGATGCATATGCGAAGGAGCCAGTTCTAAGGCCTGAAGAAGATCAGAAAGAACATTTGACTCCTCATTCTTGTTGATGGGTACAAGGGTAAGATCATCACAGAAACGCAGCAAAGTGCATCCCGCCAACCACGGCTGCCAAGTAACAAGGCTTGGAATGGCCTTCCCAACAACATCTGCAATAGGTTGAAGAACATACATCCCATCAACCACTCGTACAATCGCATTGTCTGTAGTGAGGCGCTCCTCCCAGCATTGTGTCACAAGAGCCAGCTTAGGAATCATTTCTCCAGAGACTCCTTCCATGGCAAAGAGAACAGCAACCAGGGCATGCAATTGCGATATTGCATTTCCCAATTGATGGAATGCTGTACGCAAATTCCCAGGCAACGCTAAGGTCGAGGTAGTCCCAAAGAGAGAAGCAAACACAAATGGATCAATAAAGCGGAACCCACCATTCTCCTGGATGAGGGTAGCAAAGATTCCTTTGGATTGCACATGTTCTGCCTGAAGATGGTGCTGCGCAGTGTACGAGGCACACAGGGTGGGCAAGTACTCCCCACTCTGCAGCGTTCTTTGAAGCAACACTTGGAGAGTGGAGGCTCCCTCAAGCACCCGTGCCTTCTTTGCTGGAGGGAGAAGGTCCTTGCGGCCATAGATCTGCAACAGAGCTTCATCCAGTGTAAGGTCATCAACCAGTGACTGAGGCAGGGCAAAACAATGCTTTTGGTCATTCCACAACGCTCGTCGGCTAGTGGCACAGAGAAGACGTTCAGCTGATTTATGGCCAACAACATCCTGCCTAGACCATACTGCCAGCCATCGGGTTCTGTGATTGCCTGTAAGCTGATGCATAGCAACATCTTGAGACCACAAACGCTGATAGCCAGCAAGCTGCAAAGCCGCCGAGAGGACACGCCAATGAGGATGGGCCTCTAAGCCATCCGAGCATTCGAAAAGTGCCAAAATTGGTCGGACCCTGGCCACATGCACAATAGCATCCAAGAAACAGAAGCCTTCATCAGCAGCAAGGCCAGAGTTCTTGCCACCTCTACTCCAGCTGGGACATGGCGGGGACAAGGTCATAAGAAGGTTGGATTTGCTAGAGGTGGCTCTCAGCACTGTGACATCATTGATATCAGCCAGAATACCAACATACGGCCCGGTAGGGTTGAAGTCCACTCGAATGGGACAAGTCAGGACCTCTTGCTTGTGATTATAGCTCCACGTCTTCATCACTTCTGGGCACCAGTCAACCGAAACATGAGAGGCAAATGCAAAGCCTAAGTTGGCATTTTGAAGCCACCACATAGCTCGCAGCCAGCCTTCATAGGCACCACAAAAGAGGTGAGAAACTTGCCACGCCAGACTGCTATGGTAGGCAGGGAGGTTCCACACAGGCACGTTTTCAACAGCCACTATACATGCATCATCATGTCGTTGATGGGGCTTGACCACCAAACCAATCCACATTCCAGGAGAAAGATCCACTTTACAATGTTCTGCAGTGCACAGCAAATCGAAAGTAGGCCAACTGTGATCCAAACACTCATCCTTTTGCAGCAACATAGAGGTACGGCGCACCTTGGTCCGAGAAGGCGAACCAGGTAGCATCTCAAGCACCTCCCCAAAGAGTACCCATTCGTCATCAGCACGGCCACATACGCCAGTTTGGGCAATGCCACGAAGAGCTTGAGCAACAGTGAGTGCAAGCGTCGAAGGCATCCCCACAGTCGACCATTGAATGAGCCCCTCTACTGCATTTTCTCCAACGGTTCTCTTCATTTCCTTAGTCTCCATGGCAATCCTAGTGCTTTGTGAGCACCAGGTCGGTTGACGTCCAACCCTCGCCTCACGGAAGCGAGCAGCCGGACCCCGGCCCTTGCGCGGGGGCGTAAGCCAAAAGGTTTTGGGCCTAGATGGCTGCGGGGGAGCTTCCTTGAAGAAGCGTGAGCTATCCAGCATCCATATGTAGTAGCTAGCTATTGCTAGTAGCTTACTTCTCGCTTACGTAATTAAGTAGTAAGTAGGTGTCTACTAATGAGCCAAAAGATAAACAAAAAAAACCAACTGGGTGGGCCGAAGTCAGGTGGTGGCACTTGCCGCTGCCTTGAGCACATTGGAAAAGCAGATCACTCGGTGGAAAGAGGCGCGGCAGATCGAGGGGCAGCGACCCCTCCAGAGTAGCAGAGTACGAGGTCTGTGTTAAGACATACCTCGTTGGACAAGCCACCAAACGCGGGGTTCTTTGGTTTTCTTCACTTCCAACCCTTTCTTGGAATCTCTTGACCGCTTTCTGGACCTAAACAGACTGGAGTAGGTCACTGGAGCCAAGCTGCAGCTAATAGACAAATAAAACTATGGACATTGTTTCTGCGAGTTACAGGTTGGTGTTTGAACCTTCAAGGCACTTGGGCTGCTAAACTCACATCATCGAAGAAGGACCCAGGCAGGTCCCTGGGCTATGGACTGGCCGGTTCTTCTTCTTCTGATGAACGGGAACGTCAAGTTCTGGAAGTAAATGTCAAGCAATGAAAGTGAGCATCATGATGACAGTTGAAGATGCTTCCCACATCATGCTGGTGATGATCCGATCATTTGGGCGGAGGTGTGGGGATGTTTGAGTAGCAAGGCACACCTTCCGCATGTTCAAAGGTGAATTGGTCTCGGTCAAGGCCTGTTTTGGTCACCCCAAAAAGAATGGCTTGGATGGTCTTGGCTGAACATTGGCAGCTTGGCCGATGTATTGAGCAAGTTCAGATGGAATCAGACTTCTTGACACCGCCTCTGGCCACCTCTGGCTCCAGATTCAGAGGTACATGCAGTTCAACCGACAGTTCAAACGAGGCTTCCAGCATGTGGCAGCTTGGCCCTCCACTCAGACCACAGATGGCCCCAAGATTCTTTAGATTTCAACACGTTGCCAAAGACCAATTCGCCCATGCGTGTGCAATGACCAGCTACGACTCGGGCTACGAAGACCCGCAGCACCAGGACAGCGGAGCTGGGCGTGATCTGAGTGTATTTGATGCGACTCAAGATCCTGTGCAACTGGTACACAGAATCCGTTTGGGGAGGACGCTTAGATTATATCCAACACATCCCGATGAGGATATTTGTCGGTCATTACAATCTGCCCTGCCTGTGCTCACCAGATAGAGGCACTTGGTACAAGCATCCGTGTTCTTTTTTATGGGCTGAGCATGACTGCGACCTTCCCAAAAGCGTCGCAGAGCTGTTAAGGTGGCACGAACCTCAACATTTTTTTGCATGGTTCTGGGAATGCTGTTCAGGCATCTACACCCTCCACCAAGCAGACCAAGGGCCCACCTTATGCTCCTGTTTTCAATGGTTCCCGGAGGTGCTAAGTAGTGTTAGGTACTGGTTTGTCATCAGAGAGGTGCCTTGGTGCATTTGAAGGCTGTGGCCATGGCCACGAAGAAATTCAGAACGAAAACCAGCAAAAGAAGCATGAGTAATCAGTAAAATTAGAAAACATATGAACACATTAAACAGAACATGAGGTAGCATTAGAAGAACAGATGGTATTAGAATGCAATAACGAGAATCATGGTCAAATACCATGCTCGGTAGAGATTTCTTATATAAATAAATGACCCAGATATTAATTCACTCTGATCTCTTTTTGCGCCAGGCCCTGCTTGTTCGACAGGTTCAGCAAGGCTCTAGCTTGCAAAGAGGATCTCCCGGCGTCGTGGCGCAACGTGGCCTGTCCCACGCGATTTCGGCGGTCGCCGACGGATCTGTAGGTCTGAAGGTCTTCCCCTTCCAGAACATCTAGAAGAGAAGCTTATTGAAGATCTTTCCCAAACTCAGTGCTTTCGTTCTCCCATGCATGATAGGCGCACCTGTGGGTGGAAAAAGCACAATCAGGCAATGGAAGACCTCTTAGCCCAGATGCCTCAGTGGGAAGATTTGTATTACCTACAGCATTTACCAGGAGATGACTGGTATGTGCTTAGCAATCGATGGTGGGATCTCTGGAAGGATTACACGCTTTATGTGCCTTGGCAGTGTTTGGTGCGTGCATTTCGAGCTTGGGAGAAGCAAGCCACTCACTGGGCTCGCCAGATCGACTGGGTGGTTCGTTAGGTGGGGAAAAGGGGCGTTTTTGACACCTTTTTCATTTGGAGGGATTCCCAGCAGGGTGACCCTTCACATCACTCTCACTCTCTCTCACTCTCTCTCACTCTCTGTCTCTCTCTCTCTCTCTTTCTCCCCAACAGCACCACTCGGTTGAGTGGAAGCAAAGCAAGAAGCCGCACTTTCGCACTTGGTCGCTCACTGTGGCCTGCACGAATATGTGAGTCGTTGTCCAGATTATTGTCATTTACCTGATACAAGGGCCGCTTCATCCAAGATTGTGATTTGGAGTTTTCCGTGAACAGCAATATGCGACGTCCAAACAACTATAACCCTACTGTCAACATGCAATATGTGCTTGGAAGTCAATGCAAAACCCTACAAAACGCTATACCTGCAGCGCCCGTGTGTGAAACGCTCCAAACCGATACGGGATGTCCTAACTTTGAACGAATGCGCCGTGAGCAATTAGTTTGTAAAGCAACTCACATGGATTGCTGAGCATGGAGGGTGAGAAGATCAACCAGCAAACATGCTGCCTGAGGGAACCTTCTTGAGCTGGGAACAGAACTGGGTGGGGAACAGCTAAGGACAGCAAAACTGAGCTGCCATCCCAACCCGCTCACTTGTGACTTGGCCACATTGTGGGGTCCCTGATTCCTTCCGCCTTGACAACATTTGGCAAGGCTTTTTAGACAAATCAATTTGGTGCAACCTGGAGTTGCAAGATCACCAGAAAGGATCCATACACTTTTCACCGGTCACCTGCTCCAAGGAGTCGGTCCTGCAGTGGTACCACTAAAGGCTTCCCGGCGGCAAGGATGTCCTGAAGACGAAGGTGTTGACATGCAAATTTTGCCACGCATGCAAACATCGTGAAGGCCATGTTTGGGGCTTGCACGATTCCACGATACAATATATGCTACGACCAAACAAGCGCTTTTGCCCTCGTCATAGCAACGAACATCGTCTCAGATGACAGTGATTTGATCAGAGCAACGTGCAAGATCGTGCAAGCAGACCTCAGTGTAGATGTGAACACTCGAACAAGCAGTTCTAATGTAGACTCTTGATTATACAACCCCCAAATTATGATATATACATATGTATTATATATATATATATGTATTATATATATATATGTATATACAGGTTTAACAATTTCAAATGGTGAGGTTTTATTCATCAAGGTTTTCCGTGGGCCCGGTCAGTAGCGACACCCCAGCTCATTGGGTGTTTAACTGGGCTCTTGAGGTTATTGGTGTCGACATCGTTATTTTTGGTGGCCCCATTTGTGTCGACCCATGCATGGGTGAAGAAACACACTTACTGTAATGATCCTTTTTCGGGTCTCTTGTTGCGAAAAGTGCCAGAAATGTCCTGAATACAAGAATCGTTTGTGTTGTAACGGAGACTGTAGTTGTGCTTAAATCTGGTTGTGGTCATTCTGTTTTTTTTTTTCAGGCGCAGATCGGTTTTCGTCTCTCGACCCATGTGTTTCTTGTCAATCGCCCAAGGTGGGACCCACGAGACACGTTTCGTCAGCAAAGTGTCCGTTTGTAGCGTCCTTTTGGGTCCTAGTAGGTAAGGCCAGGAGCGCCCCTAGTTCGTAACGTCCTTGCTCGGTTCGTAGCGATGCCCTTTCCTCCTAGAACATTTCTACCAGTACAGTCATAACAGTGCATCATAGGAGGCGTGCGAATGAATGTTGGCGGGATGTTGCGTGCGTCCATTGTTTTTCTTTGACTACGTTGGATCACGTTCACCTCTTTTCTGATCTCTGGTGCACAGAGACAGAGATGCAGAATGCATGGTTATTTGGTGATAATGATCATAGTAGAACTGTGCAGCGTTGTCAAGACTCATCCAGACAATCCAGATCTTCAGAGTGCACCGGTAGATCGTCGTTTAGGTGAACGCCCCCCTGGCATCGACAACTCGGACCTCATCCTGCGGTGTCTTGGTGGAACGCAGGCCATAGCCAGAGTGGGTAGGGGCCTGATTTGGGGCTACTCCCCTGCAGAACACATAGAACCTCAAAACCACTGGGGTCGGGCCCTTCGGACAATGATCGAAACCACGGGTCAATTCAAAAAAAAATACATGGATCGTCTGCTGGCTGTGTACATCCGTGTACCACAATCGACTTTGCCATCTAGTAGGCTCTTCAGCTGCTCGGATCGTCAGCATTTTTCTTTAAAGCCGTGGGACCGCTGCGACGAGCGGGGGGGCCACCCATCTAGACTGAGAACCTTCAACGGGTTCTTCTCGTTTTCTTCCGGTGAATCGTTTTTGTGAACATGTGCTCAATGTGCTCAACAATTCAAGAGACATCAATCACGCCTGTCTTGCCTTTGCATGACTTTGTTGACATGTTGTAAGGCCTGGATGTCCACAGCTGCAGAGTGGCCTTGTAGAGTGTCTTGGGATGAGCAATGTTGAATGATAATGACGGGACAGTGAGGATGCTTTGGTGAAGACAATCCAATCCCACGTCAGGGGTTCAGATCATCTGCTTTGGGGTCAGCTCCGCAGCTGGTCATTTCTTTTTGAACAGTTTGGTTTGATTTATTGGGGAGATAAATGGAGAGAAGTCACAGTTGCTGGAGATTTGTAGGACTCTTCGGAGCCCTTCCGCCCTGTCCGAGGAATAGGGATTTCATCTTGATCAACAAGGAGCTCGGTGCAACGAAGAGTACTCTGACATAGTCTGACATCCTGAACGCATTCACAGATAGACATTTTGTGTCATCATATATGTAATCCTTAGCTTGAGATGTGTCATTTTCAGGCCCGAAACCGTTGGATCGCCGTTGAACGTTCTTATGCTACCTGCTACCTTGTCAAGATTGGCGCTTATCGCATTGTCCCCACAGATCGTCATTCGGCACCTCTGTAAAGGGCGGATTGCTGCCAACTGGGCCCATCTCTTTTGAAATCACTCTGCAAGTTCCTGCGACCGTGAACACATCTGCGGTTGGATGGCACTTCAGAAGCCTCGGCACTGCCTCAGGAGGTGTGGAAGCTCCTGCATAGGTGGTACCCTGGTGGCCCGATGTTGAGGTGTCTTGTTTCGCGCCATAAATCATGGTTCGGAAGATGTGAGGTCTTCTATCAGCCTATTCTCACCGCTTGTCAGGCGCCGGGTCATTGGAGAAGGCTCCAACTTGCGACTCGGACGGCGGGGGGGACCGGGACGGCGTTCTGCTCTACTTCAGAGGGGTCGGAGGAAAATTGGAAAATTGGTCGTTCTGAGGCGAGTAGAACTGTATCCGCTCTGCCTCACCATCTACAAGGCGGAGATCTTGGTGGGTGGAGTTCCAAGCGTGACAACTCACATCGCAA